TCCATTTGGTTCCGTATACGCTTTCTTTTTTGCACTTGCCGTTGACGCAAATAATCCTTGTTACACACCATTTTAAATGGTTCCGGCGGTCAATAATGCTCAGCGCCTACTGGCTGCAACTGTCCACTATAGGTGTTTAAGTATGAAACAACACTATATTCTTTATCAACATACCTCGTTGCCGTGAAACCTATATGTTGAAAGCACTTCATGGCATGTGAGCATGGCATGTGATAGATGGACCATTTTCCAAAGGAGCATAATCTTCTGACTTCATTGACGGTGTGTGTATTATTCCCCAGGTTGTGATGCAGACTAGTGCGAACTTCAAAAATATTTCGCTGGTTGCAATCATGAAAAAATGAATGCCATTGTGCTCGCTTACTGTATTTCTCAAATCGTTTCATTAGTATTGGCATAAATTCAACACCACTTTCCATCAATGACGATGCACCTCTAGATCTTTCAACAAACCTTGCCATCTGCTTGAATGACATCCGCACCATGGCAGTGACAGGCAATCTACGTGCGGACTTCAATAACCCATAGAAAGACTCTAACACATTTGTAGTCAAAATTTCCCATCTTCTACCACCATTCGCATGCAAATTCCACTTGTCAAGCTCATGTCGCATCAACCAACTATATGCTCCTTGGTCTACCTGCTTGATCAATTTCATTCGTCTCCTGAATTTACATTCTTGGTGATCTGTTGCAACCATCCAGATTAAAATCATACAAGTCCTTGTTTGAATAAGCCCTCTGGAAGTTGGCCTTCAAGCACGCAAATTATGTACAGAACTTAAAATACAATCATAACGATCAAATATTAGACAAATACTTGAACGTTGTCTGACAACGTGCTCCTTCAAGTGGTTCAAAAATAATGTCCATGTCTCTTGGCTTTCATTGGCACAAATAGCAAATGCTAAGGGAAATATACTTCCATTAGCATCTAATGCAACGTCGATCAACAACTTAATATCGTACTTTCCATAGACATGAGTGTCGTTTATGGATATTACCGGCCGATAATGCATAAAACCATCAATTGCTAGTTTAAATGCCCAGAACACATATATGAATATGTGTTCTCCTATTCCCGAACTCTGCGCAAGATTCCATTCAATAACAATCTCGAGGCTAAAGTGTTGCAATGCGGCCATGTACCTGGGTAGAGATGCAAAGGACTTATCCCAGTTACTATAAACAATTTCAAACGCACGTTTGTTCCCGAGAAATACCTTTCTTTTGTTAATGGTACACCCATATACCTGGTGGACAGATGTTGTACACTATTTGATTTTTTACCTCATGTACGCTTCAATGTGTGGAATCAACACAAGAAAAATCAAGTCAACATTCAAGTTAAAATGATTCCCACTGAATGTGTCCATTTCACAATTGTGGGTGCCAAAGTATTTACCCACAATCCGCATATTAGTTTTCAACTTTCTCGCACGCAGCATCCAATTACAACCTTGAAACCATCTATAACAAATAACCTGGTATACATCCGGAGATGACTCATGAACCACTATCTCACGACACTCTTTTATGTTGTACATTCGCACCGCCCTGCTTAGGCGCACTTTATCAGCAAATAGCATGCCCTTTGACAGCACCGTTGCTTTAGATTCATCCCATATTGCTATCCAAATTTCGTCAAGATCCCTTGTGAGGGAATCCACATCCGGCATACTTGGCAAATAAGCAAGGTAGGGAATCTCCTTTGAAAGAAACGGCACATGGGACTCATACATTCTTGGTCTAACGGGAGGTGGAGCATGCTCCCTCGTCAAATCAGGTTCAGCATTCTTGTCCTCATCATCATCACCCTCATCAGGGAAGGGTGTGTCATCTCCAGATTCATCAACATTGTTGTCATAATCTCTATTCTCTTCCTGACTCTGCGCATCTACTAGATCCCGATTAAATATGTCGTCTTCGAGTAATTGAGTAAGGACAGGACCTTCAAGTTGCTCGTTTTCACTGCACAACCATTAAAATAATGAGTTTCTCAAATTCATCCAAACTTTACATATAAACTTTATCACTTCACTTACAAATCATAATGTGTTGATATCCCATGATGCACATTATCCTGTTGATGATGGCTCCCGGATGGACCGCCATGATCCAACACACCAAAACTAGGCATATTCTAACTGGTCGTTGGTTCATAAGTTGTAAAATTCATATCTATCCGGTACCCCCTGTGGAATATATGAGTGTTAGTACAAATTCAATACATAAAAATAAACATCGTAACACAAAGAAAAATTGAAGTTTACCACTTGGCTTGTGGATTATGTAAACTTGGGGAGAAATTATTTCCTCGTTCCTCATTCGACCATGGAGATAAGTTTAGATCAGGCCAAACTCTTTCACCCGGAACCTGTTCGGCTAAAACTGCTCCAAAATAACCATCAGAAACCTCATTATTGCTGACGTCTTCAATTGTGACGTATATTTCCAATATTTTTATCACAAGAAGTTCCCGGTGTTCATCCGGAGTCCTCAATCGTCTTTGGTGTTAAACTCAGCATAACAAGCAACCCCTTGCAATGTAACATAATGCAGATATCTTCCGGTTACTTTAATATTCACCGAACATTTGCTCATACTCATTTTTTTACATAATAACGATACCAATGTATCGTACTCCATTATAAGTGGCGACTTAACATGACACTATGGAGAACAACTATAGTGTACTGAGTTATTCGCCACCACAACTTCACCCCCCCCCCCCCTAATATAATGAAACCCTAATTTTTCGCTCTTCCGAAATTATGACAAAATACAAAATAACTTAACGAACAAATACTTCGGAAGACTTGAAGGATCCTGAATGGATTTTTACCAAATCCTAAACCACCTTAAATAAGGAAAAAACCAATCTAGGGGGTACAATTATTTGATATATATCGCATGTATAATGGGCGCTTTACACATATGAATTATTGGTGGGTCAGTTAATTGCAGATGAATTATTGGTGCGGCCACATTTTATATATAGCGCAGTTATTCACTGCGCTATACCTTAACGGACAAACGTGTCGTTAAGGTATAGTGCGGTGAATAACCGCGCTATACATATAATGGTGCCCAATCTTCTTTTTTTATACTTATTTGGTCGCTTGTGTCCGAAAAGACCACAATTAGGTTTCAGACTCTATGTTTATGGCACTCTAGTCTATAAGCAAATTAGATTGATTTTCTTGAGTAAATACTTGGTTGGACATACTCAACATGATATTTTATACTTCAATACCACACAAGAGAGGGGGTGAGTTGTGTGGGGTCCAATTTTTCGCTTAAACTGATTATGGAAGGACCTGGTTCTTCTAAGTGTTCCTTAACCTACTATTGCAGAAATAGTAAATGCAGAAAGTAAAGAACACAAGTATTTTACGTGGAAAACACCTGGCTCAAAAGGTGAAAAAACCACGACATACTTCCCAGTAGGATTTTCTCAAACTCTTCACTAAATCACTGAGCCAAAAACTGCATTTACAAAACACTTTTGTAAATCTAGGATTAACTCTAATCCCGTTGTAGCAAACAGCCTCTAACTGTTGCGACAACTTCAAGTTAACTCTAACTTGAATACTCTGAGTACCTATTACAATTGCCTCTAGATAAAGCTGAAAGGTACAATACGAAAACACCTACTACAATTGAACTAGAATAAAAGACAGACACTTGGAACTAATTCTTTTATCTAGTTCATGTAGCTTCAGGTTTGTACACTTGAATCACACACGAACTGCTTGCAAAATTGTCTTGCTATTTTGCTCTCAATTCACGTTTAACTTCTGCGTTTGTGCAACACCTGTAAAGTGAGAACGTCCTGCAATTTATAGAGTTAGTAGATGAAGAAATAACTAGAGTTCTAATGCTACTCTTCCTTGGAGAGTTCTAGCTGATCTCAACTTCTAATTCCTTTCCTATCTTGGACATTGTTCTCTTTGAGTAAGGAGTCCTTCTCCTTATCAATTATGCAACCTTTTCGATCAGGAAATATTAAATATACCAAGTTAAGCTTATCTCCTTCACGTGCATCTCACATGCTCAAATATGTCTGTGCCTATGCTCACAAGGGATGGATCTGGTTCATGCCTGAGTTCATTTGTCAGTTTTCAAAACTAACTTTCACCTGGACCAACACAGTATGTAGTCAATCTTAGACTTTAGATTTTCCTCCTTTTAGTGAGACAAAGACTGGACCTAGTACCAAACATCAAGTCCAGCCACGAATTTGCTATTCCTTTGTCTTTAAAAGGTCCGAGATGTATTTCCAATGGTACCCTAGTTATCAGTCATCACAAATGAATACTGTACAGGGGCAGGGCCATGATTTAAAGCTTGTGGAATCAGGTTCTAAATTACTCCTAATAATTTATACGTATATAATAATATTTGAAAGACAAATACAAAGTTTAGACCAAAGTTACTGAGTTCGGCTGAACCCACAAATCATATGCTAGCTCCGCCACGCGGGTAGCTGTTTTTGTTGATATACTGTCTTTTTGAATGGGACACCATGGTATCCTTGCATATTGCCCTCGAATAGCCTCTTTTAAATGCTAACCTTACCTTTCTACTTTAAAGATACCATAAATATGCTATAAAAATTATTCCCAGCCACCCAAAATCTGAAGATAATTTAAGTTATAAATCATATCCTTGAATCAGACTTAAGTATATTAAATAATCTTTCAAATCAAATTTTGAGGAATCACAATTAACTTGCAATAATTTCAGCAAATAACATAATGAGCAGAACATATATATTCTTGCACATATTTATAATAAGACAGAACAATAAGTGGCACAAGAAGGAACTCATGTGTTCCTATCATATTAGAATCACATTATACAGACGAATATCCTACGCCAAAACTTCCAAAAAACATAACTATTTTTTCATAGTAAACTAACTATACTAATTAGTGACCAAAAATGTCTAACTCATACATTGCTATTTTCTTCATTCTAGTAAACGTAATACAGATTCTCATGCCCCAAGAGTTCTAAAAAGAACAAGAAAGAATGGCCTATGCTAGAACCTAAACTTGAAAAAGCTAAACAAAGTTTTGAACATTAATAATAATTTAAAAAAATAGCTTTCTTTACAAAAAGCTGTCCTTTCCACAAACTGTTAAAAAGATCTTCAAAGATTGGAACTTGAACTTTGAAAAAAGCACCTGTAATGACAAGAAAACCCCTTTTGTTTCCTCAGCCTTTGACCAAATTCAGAAAAAATCAGAAAACCCATAAATTTTCTGATTTTCCAAGAAATGGAATTAATTCATTTTTCTCATTTCGACCGGAGCAAGAAGATACTAAATTCTTGACCCGGACCTTCTTCCGGGTTAATCAAATGAAACGACTCCGAATCTGCACCACCAATAACACACTCGTAATTAGCTCTCATGTACAACACCTCTTCACATTGATCAGTACTACCCGAAACCGAACCCGAAGGAATCACACCCGCCCCGACTGTCATGTTCTGCATGGTCTTAAGCATGTTTCGGGTCTGTTGGGTGGCCCGTCTTTTAATCGCAAACCCGATTTTACGTCCATTACAGAAAAGAGTCCACATAGGAATAGAATGAAGCGGACAAAGATTCAGTTCTGATGACGTGTCCTTGAACTCAAGAGCAATACGTACAAGTCCACTTTGCATTTCTTGAATAAGTGTAGTGGTGGGGATGGAAAGTTCTAGAAGAAGAGAAGGTTTCGTGTTGAGACGATCGTGTTGTACACAGAACCAAACGTGTCCGCCGCGGCGTTGGCCGTAGATGGTGCCGATCACCATTGTTTTTGAAGAGCGTGGAGGAGCAGAAGGGATAATGCTGTTTGATGGGGTGGTTGGGGTGGTGGGGTAAGAATCTTGATCTTCTTGTAATTTTTTCTCTTGTTTTGGGTCGTCGAGATCGTCACGTAAGGAAGTGCTGAGGCGTTTTTTGGGTGCAATGGTGAGTGGGGGTGGTGGTGCTGGGGAGGTGGGGGTGGTGGTGAAGCAGGGGAGGAGGAACCGACGGAGGGCGTCGGTTTTTGGCATGGCTTGTTTTTTTGTTTTTCTTTTGGATCAAGAATTGCAGAAAGGAGAGAAATAAAGAAGATGAAAAATGAGATTGTTTGTGTAAGGCTTTTAGAAAGGGTTGTGTTGTAGAGCAGTATATATATAGTGTATAAGATATGATGAAAAAAAGAGGGGGAATTGAAAGAGCGGGAACTGATGTAACCGTTACATTGAGGAAAGAAAGAGGAGTGAGTGAGTCAAAACTTTGCTCTAGCAATGGTTCTAGTCAAAACATACACTTAACCAATATTTGCACTAAAAAAAAAGGTAGCATGTACACTAAGCTCTACGGGATTCGAGTAAGGATCGGACCATATTAGACAGATGCGGACGGAGAGTAGAACGTAGAACTTACGTGTTCAGCCGAACCCAGTAGCTTTGGTTCAAACTATGTATTTGTTTTAAAATTTTTATTAAATATGTACAAATATTAATTTAGAACCTAGTAACTTAAAGGTTTAGAATCCGAACTCATAAATTTTAAATTCTGGCTCCACCTCTAATATTATATTTTATGTATGCATCTTAATTTTGAATTTATGCAAAAAGTTATTTCCGCGGCGTGAACGTATGACTTTCTGGTCACAGGACATCAACTCTTGGGCACAAACTTTCTACTTCATCCAATATTTGCACTAAACCAAGTTAACTTAATTTTAGAAACTTATTGTTTTGATGATAATTTATCTAATTTTAATTACAACTAAGTGACAAAAGTGAATGCAAACAAATTTATGTGTTTTGTACAAACATAAGGATGAGTAAGGTTTGTTGAAAGGTGTTGGCTAATCTATTTTTGCTAGTATTTTATACTTTCACCGTTTCAATTTATGTGAACTTATTTCCTTTTTAATCAGTGTCAAAAAGAATGACTCATTTCCTTATTTGGAAATAATTTACCTTTATGCAATGATTTATTGCCACACAAAATATATGTGCCTCATTTTATACTACAGGTTTAAAATTCTTCTCTTTTTTCTTAAACTTCGTAATCAGTCAAATAGGTTCACATAAATTAAAACGGGAAGAGTGTATTGGTAAAAAATAGACTTTACGCGTGTAATATTTCTGATGACAAGGCAATCCATGTGGAGCAATAGAAACATGACAGCTGGTCGCAAATTTACAAAGAGGTACGTAACAAAGAGGAACGGAACAACATATCCAGGAGACAATTAGATGCGGGAACCTCAGTCTAATTGAGGAGTTGAAGAGACACGGTCAGAATGAACCAAGGCAGGATAAAGGGCAGATTCAAAGATCTTCAATCAATGAGCCAAACGTTACATAATCTTCACGCAACAGTTACGATTACCTATTATAACGTTAGATTAATGATATTATTAGTCATTAATGCTCAATTATTAATGAGAGTAGGCGTTATATTAAGAAGTTCCCTATAAAAGGGAAGAAAATATCACTTGTAGAGACACGTTCGAACTGCTACTGAAATACATTTACTTTTACGCATTCTTATCGCTTTCTTATTGCAAGTCTAATTGTTTCAATCTAGTTTTCTTGATTATCAGTAACCCGAGCTCTTCTAAAATATTAGCTTTGACCGAAATTCCTATTTTCTGGTTAAACAAATTGGTTCCGTTACCGGAACTCTGATAATCTGTTACTTTCTAAATCAACTTTTTTGTCAAATCAATCATGTCAAACGTCATTGACAACAATCAAGGAGACCATCAACACCAAGAGAATCTGCAAGGCGATGGAACTCCGGTCCCTTCCCCACGAAATTCTCCTCGACAATCTCGAGAAGGAACTCCTGATGGATCTCGGTCAAATGTGAATGATCAGTTTGAAAATGATGAGGCTATTAATGAAGCCTTGAAAAAGTTAATTGCTCAACAGGTCAGCAATGCTCTTGAGGCTTTCGCTAACCAACTGCCAGTTGCGCCGCCAACATCAACTCTAAACAACAACACCTTGGAAAATCCTCGCTCAGGACTCGTTAACTCGGGCAGTGGAGGAACTCCTAGCGAATCCCGTGATGGAGGGTCAGGTAACCCAGTTAATTCTGATTTACAAAATTTAGTACTAACTTTGCAGAAATAGCTCAAGGAGCAGAGTGACCGCATAGAGCAAATATCTGGAGTGCCGCCTGTAATCAAGGGAATAGATATGGACAAATACCCACAACAACCATGGAAACCAAGTGCTGCTCATCTACCAATTCCGAAGAAATTCAAGATGCCCGATATTCCGAAATATGATGGAACAACTGATCCACGGGATCACGTAACTGCATTCACAACCGGTGTAAAAGGCAACAATTTGACCAAGCAAGAAATTAAATCAGTACTGGTCAAAAAATTCAGAGAAACACTCACTAAGGGAGCATTAATATGGTATTCTCTTTTACCCAAAAATTCTATAGATTCTTTTGCTGAACTTGCAGATTCATTCATCAAAGCACACTCGGGAGCTCAAAAAGTTGAGAAAAGAATGGAGGACATTTCCAAAATAAAGCAAGGAGATACAGAGCTGCTTAGGAAATTCGTAGACAGATTCCAGCGTGAGAGGATGATGTTGCCACGTGTACTAGATAACTGGGCAGCAATGGCATTTGCCAGCAATCTAAATGAAAAAAGTTCAGAAGCCACGAGGAGACTCAAGGAAAGTCTACGAGAATTTCCAGCAACAACTTGGAATGATGTTTATAACAGATACAGCACGAAGCTGCGGATAGAAGAAGATACCATCATTCAATCTTGAAGGCATGAAGAGGTAAGTTCAAGGCGAGCTGAATCTGAAAAAAGGTCCGGAAAAAACAGGTACAAGAATTATATGGGACCAGCAGGAAGAGACTCACGTTGAAGACAGGAAAACCCAAGGTACGATCATAGATCAAGAGATAGAGAGTCAGGTTCATCATCAAGGTTCGGAAAAGAACGAAACACGCGAGAGACGAGAGATGATGACAAAAACTCGAAGGTAAAGATCGGCGATTACAGTTTTAACCGTTAGCACATCTGAGTTGGTGGATGTTTTAAGGAGCATGGGAGACAAGGTACACTGGCCAAAAGAAATGAGATCAAACCCGAACAGGCGAAATCCTAATTTTTCGTGCGAGTTTCACAACGATCACGGTCACAAAATGCCGAATTGTAGATTGCTGCAAGGTGAAGTAGAACATTTATTGAAACAAGGATATTTCACTGAATTCTTTAGTGAAAAGGGAAAGCAGACATATATGAAAAATAGGCAGGAGCCCCCAAAACCCTCTTCACCAAAAAGGACGGTTAATGTCATAAGTGGAGGAGAAGAGATCAATGGCGTAACATATACAGCAGCGAGGAAGGTGTCGAAAATAACAGTTACACACGGGAAGCAGGTTCGACAGGTTTTGGAAGAAGATAGTATAACATTTGATGATGCAGATGCAGATGGCGTGATAACCCCACATAATGATGCACTGTAATATCTTTACTTGTACATGACACTAATGTGAAACGAGTTTTGATTGATCCAGGAAGTTCCGTGAATATCATTCTGTTAAGAGTGGTAAATGAGATGCAAGCTGATGATAAGTTGATACCCAAGGCTCATACCTTGTCCGATTTTGACAACTCGAGCGTCGTGACAAAAGGCGAGATAATACTCACCACATTCGCAGAAGGAGTAGTCAAAGACACCAAATTTCAAGTAGTAGAAATGGATATGGCTTACAATATGATTCTCGGTAGACCATGGATTCATGAGATGGATGTCGTTCCATCCACTTTGCATCAAGTTATCAAATTTCCTTCACAATGGGGAATACAGCAAATACGTGGTGACCAACAAGCGTCTCGAGGCATTAATTCCATAGCAGATACAAGTGCAAAAAGCGAAGATAAATAGCAATCACAGAACCAAGTTGAGGATGCTGCAATGCAAACCTCAACTAAGCATGGGCGAACAGATGTAGACTCAAGGCTTGACACCATTCAAGAACCAGAAGAAAATGAAAACATCAAAACAACGATCGAGGAATTAGAAGCTGTAGTATTATTTGCACCCTGGCCTGATAGAAAAGTCTACATCGGGACCAACCTCAGCCACGAAATGAAATGTAAGTTGGCCGAATTTTAAAAGCTAACGTAGACTGTTTTGCTTGGTCCCATTCAGATATGACAGGTATACCCCCGAAGGTAATGACTCACAAATTAAATGAAGATCCATCGTACCCACCTATCAAACAAAAGAAAAGAAAGCAAGGTTCCTTCAAGAATCAGGTGATTCAAGATGAGGTGTAGAAACTTTTAAAAATTGGGTCTATCCGCGAGGTAACGTATCCAAATTGGTTAGCTAATACTGTAGTGGTACCAAAAAAGAATGGTAAGTAGCGAGTTTGCGTAGATTATACTGATCTAAATAAAGCTTGCCCTAAAGATTCTTTTCCATTACCGCATATAGATCAACTAATTGATGCTACTGCAGGACATGAATTATTTAGCTTTTTAGATGCATATTCAGGGTATAATCAAATAAAAATGGATCCAATGGATGAAGAAAAGACTTCATTTATAACAGACAGGGGGACTTACTGTTACAAAGTGATGCCCTTCGGTCTCAAGAATGATGGGGCCACATATCAAAGGCTGGTGACCAAAATGTTTCAGGAATATCTAGGGAAAACCATGGAGGTTTATATAGATGATATGCTGGTCAAGTCAGAACAAGCAGGGGATCATATTCAACACTTGACTGATACATTTCAGATTCTTCGTAAATTTAATATGAAATTAAACCCTGAAAAATGCGCATTTGGGGTTCTATCAGGTAAGTTCTTGGGATTTCTTGTTTCTAACCGTGGTATTAAAGTAAATCCCGCGCAGATTAAAGCTATTGAAGAAATTCCGGATATACTGACGAATAAAAAAGAAGTACAACGGCTGACGGGAAGAATAGCTGCTTTGGGAAGATTTATTTCCAAGTCATCGAAAAAATGCTTCAGGTTCTTTTCAACTCTAAAAAAGAAAGATCAATTTGAATGGACTGAAGAATGTCATCAGGTGCTTAAAAATTTGAAAGTATACCTATCAAATCCACCATTGCTCGCA